GTATAGGAAATAAGACTGATTTGAAATTTTGAGATTTAAAGGTATTTTTTTGTGTTTTTTCCCAAGTCCTTGTTCCTAACTAACGTAAATTTAAGACACATCATTTCTTATGTCGCTCTAGTTCTAAATGTAAGTCACTTACAGGAAAAAAATTTTGATGCTAAATGTGAGTCACTTGTAGTATATTTAATACCTATTTTCCAATTTTACAGTGCCAACATATAGTATTAGATAGTACCCTAAATAGGTTTTCAATGGAAAAATACTGGTGCTTAATTAAAATGAAAAGTATCATGAGGTTGACTTTTCTTACAATGACACAATAAAAGGATAAAATCTTAGGTCAAATTAGCAATATAATCAAGAGATTTTTGTACTCAATAAAAGGAGAAGTTGAGAGGTCAGTGACGTAAATATATAGTGAGTTTGATTTTCCTTTTTTGCCAGCATATAGTGAGTTTGATGAACCAGCCAACTTAAACACATGGATATTCACTGTTGTTGTATATCGAGAATGTTACATAAAGATATTTAAGTAATTATCAGTTAAATAATTAGTCTAATTCACAATAAATCAAACGTAACCACCATATACAATAGATAAATATGGCTTCATGAAACCAAAAAAATTCAAAAACAAAATGTGTAAAATATATAGGAAATTATCTTTTTAGGAAGTAGACTATATGTATACGTTTCTTAGGTGATTACATCAAGGTATTACGTAGTTACGTTGGTTAATTACCAAAAAGTCCTGTTGTGTAATGTAATAATCTCTTCTTTACTGGTTTGTCATTTACCTTTTCTAGTGTTGATCTCAGGCCTCAAGTCCAACTGCAACGCAAAGAAGAAAACTTAAGAATATGGAAATTAAACCAATCTGCTAGTAATTACTAGTTATATACTATCCTGGTACCAAAGGGGGTTCTTAGATCTACTAAAAGAAGGTTAATCTCCTATATGAATTAAAATTTGAATTCTTATTTAAAAAAATGTCAACATATAGTGTTCAATAGTATTTCGAACAGAATTACTTTTAAAAAAAGAGTACTTGTGCCTAACATAAAAAAAAAAAAAAATACTTTCCCAGTCCTTATTATAAGGATTTATTAGTAATTTAAATTCAAATTTCATTTAAAATTAGCTTATGTTTTTAAAATTTTAAAAACTAATCTCACAACTTTATATTTAAGAGAACCTTAAGGGAGATGTTGAGTTACAGGTCCCAACAGGAGAATCCTTTGATTAAAATATTTTATTATAAGGTTCAAATAATTAATTCATGGATAACAAATAATTAGTTAACATTAGTTAAAAATAATAAATATGTTAGAAATATACTTTTCTTTTCAAATATGCTCTTATAATAAATGAGAAAAAAATAAAAGAAAATGTGTGAAAAATGTGACAAGAGAGAAATAATTAAGAGTAATATTGAAAAATATGCATTAAATATTAAGACAAATCTAAATTGAAATTTATAAAATGGATCACACACATTCTCAAATTTGAAGTAGATAATTTCATTAAAAAATGAATGATAGAAGCAGATACCCAAAAAAAAAAAAAAAGTCATTATGAGGAATAAGTCTAGATGTGCATGTGTCTTCAATAGAGGCATGAGTTTCTTCTTCCTGACGAAACGAAACGGATATAATAACGACGGTGTTTTGGACCTGTGACTTTATGGAAGCACGTACTTTGAATTACTTTAAGAAATCAAATTAGGTATATATAAAAATAAGCGGATATTTAATAAAAAAAATAAGTAGATATCACACATGTGAGTAAATAATTATTATTTTACGCACCCATACACATGTTTTATCATATTTAAGTGTTATGTCTCTTAATTAACGGTATATCTCCCAAAAATATTGTCAGGGTTCCCGTTACGACGCCTGACAGTACCCTAAAAGATGATTAGTCTCTTACCGTTTAGATGAGAGGATATTCTGGACAACCAAAAAAAAGTAGTTCTCCTAACATTTGTTTTTTCAAAAAAAAAATTTATATGATTCAAACTGTTCTTTACTGGTTTGTCATTTACCTCTTCCTGGTTTTTCTGGCGGAGGAAAACAAAAAACTGGTCATAAAAATGAGTTTAATTGAAACGAATCACAAAGCACTAACCTGTAAAATTATTTTATGGTTACAAGCCCCTCCCTTGACTTTAATGAGTATGAGGAAAAGGGATGAGGGGGAGAAAATTTTAATAAGCTCAATTTTAAAAATTGAAGAAGTGGGGTCAAAAGTTTTTAATTATTTTTTCTTACTTTTTTATCTTAAATCTTTTTTTTACCAAAATTTTACAACCTCACTGCTTCAATTTTTCAAATCGAAGTTCATCAAAATTTTTCTCTCATCTCCACGTCTCTAATTCCCTCCATAGGATTAGCTTTATTAATAATCAGAATCACGTTTCAAATTCGTTTGTAATTACTTTTAAGTTTTAATAAACATATTAAGTGGCTTGAAGTAAGGAGACTGATGGTCAGATGTGACTCCAAGTTTGTGGATAAGCCATAAATTATTAAACTATCATGTTATCGTAGAAATCTTTTAACTTCAATAACCTTCTTGACTATGAAAATACTTTGGATATTATTAAAATAAATATTTAATCATTATATATGATTTTGGGAAAATTTAAAAAAATATGATAGTTGAATTTCCAAAATCCAAAAAGTCAACTGAATTTGCAAAAATCCAATGTTATCTAGAGCTCCAGTGGGCCACCTTCCAGCAACTAGCATTGGAGCTCTGGTAGCCAGGAACTCTTTTTTTTTTTTTTTTAAATATTTATAATGTGATTAATAACTTTTATAATAATAACTTTAATAATAATATTCACAACTCTATTAACACTATTTACCATATGTTTTCTAAGCTTTTAAATGGGGGGTTTTCAACATTTGTGAAACAACTCTCACAATAATATCCACAATTCCATTAATTCTATATACCATGTATTTTTTTAGGTTTTTAAACTAGAATTTTTTTCTCTCTTATAACAATATTCACAACTCTATTAATGTCATTAACCACTTTATATGATAAGCTTTTAAACTTGAAAAATTTAGTTAGTGGCTAACCTTGTGACATTAATAGAGTTATAAATATCATTATAAGAGCCATAAATCACGTTATAAATATTGAAAAAATCGCAATTTAAAAACCTAAAAACACATGGTAAATAGTGTTAATGGAGTTGTGGATATCATTATAAAAATTATTAATCACATTACGAATGTTGAAAAAATTTCAATTTTAAAAACCTAAAAAACACATAGAAAATAGCATTATGAGTTATTAATCATACTACAAATGTTGAAAAATCCAAAAAAAAAAAAGTTTGCAACCAGCAGTCCACCAGAGCTCTGAGCTGTTCGCCGACGGCCATTGGCCAATGAGAGTGACTTGAATTTTTTTCTTAAAAAAAATAAAGAGCAATATTGTAAAGTCACCAACATTATAAAATTCTAATTTAGTCATTATGACTGATTTGAAATTTTGCAAAATCCAATGGCTTCATGGGGTTTTAAATTCAATTATCATTTTTCTAGAATTTTCTCTAGGTTTTTTTATAGGAGTCAAATGAAGAGTGCATACACATATTTCAACACACTCAAACACAGAGCATGAGTTTCAACTTGTGACCTCCAACCTAAAGGGGGGATTGGTGCTACTAAATCCAAGAGTCTTTAGCTCATAATATGTGCTACTAATTCATCATTTAAGCATTTACTTCATTATCTTCAATATCACAACTTGAGCGTCACATATGCCTCAAAGTTATTAAATAACAATTGAACAAATCACGTGCATAACCATGAACAAGGGTCTATTCCACGCAATGTAAGAGTATAAAAAATGCGTGTCTAGAGGACAACGAAATTGTGTCAAGTAATATGTTAATTGTGGGATTTGTGACTTATTTATTGGTTGAGGTGGAGATATAGAATAATGTTGATTAAAGCAACGCAAATATTTTTCTAAAACTTTGTAAGGATAAAGAGAGAAAATAGGTATAAAAAAATGGGAGGAGGAAAAATAGAGAGAAGAGAAAAGTGACAATAAACGTTTTCTCTTCTTATATTTTTAGAAAAATTACGAAGGCAAAAAACTTATGATGATTTAATTAATCAATTCAATCAACTAACAATATATGTTCAATTTGAATTCTCCAACTATTTTATGTGGCAAATAATTGTTTAACTTAGGTTAATAATAACTCAAAATAATTTTGCAGCGCTCAAAAATTTGACCTAATATTAAAATGAATTTTTAAAAATCTTCATAAGATCAACAAAAACTCATAAATAAATAATTACACGGTCAATTCTGTCCAAAAATATTGGCAATACAGCCCCTAAACTAAATTTTTCAAATTCGGCAAATGTCCTTCTTCATTTTCCAATGCACTTATTGGGCCAACACATAATACCACGTAGGAAACATTAAACAGATCCGGCCCCAAAAAAGGATCTGAAGTTAATTCATTGGCCCATTAGAAGGCCCAAATGGGGAGAAAACCAGTTTTTTTGTGACAAGCACTCCATATTTTTGTATATATAAATAATTGTATGCGTTCTAATTGTATTTTTTTTTTAGAGACAATAACAAAAAAAAGAAACTGTAATTTTATAAATACTAAATAAGAAATATCAACAAAAATTAATTATTATTTGTAAATTTAGATTTATTAATAGCAAATAAAGTTGTGTTAGTAAACTTGAATTGGGATTTATAATTTTTAGTTTCTTTTTCTGTCATTTTTTAATTTCTATTAAATTATTTGATGCAAAAAACGAAAAAAAAAATCATTTTTGTATATATAAATAATTTTATGGGTTCTCATTGTATTTTTTTAATATTTTTAATCATATTCAAATAAACTCTTTTCTTTTTTGGCACAAAAGAAGGGTAAAATTGTGCCACCGAAGACAATTTACCGTGTTCACTCAATCGAACGGCTGAAAGTCATCGTCTTCAACTCACTTCAGGGAAGCTGCACAGGCGATCGGATTCTCATGGCCCTCCTGTTAAGCCCGGAACCTTGAGAATGGAGATAAAGCCAAAATTTGTTTCGTAAATCTTCTCGATTTCTTGTGCTATCATTTCGGGCTAATGTTGTTCACTTGCTCAAATCATCACATTCAACCTCATATTCAAATAAATCATGGGCTTAAAAGGATACTGTGAAGTGGGTCAGTCTCTGGTTCGGAAATGGAGGAGTTGGTCTCGCAATCCGGTATCTTTGTGGGTTCGGAGCTTACGATCAAATGCTGTTTTGGAAGCCATTGCTAAAGCTTCGGAAGAGAGAGTTCCCAGTGTTGTGCTCTACAATTACCCCTCTTTTTCTGGAGCTTACTCGGCTCTTTTTGCTCACCTCTTCCACACTTATCATAATATGCCATGCCTTATTTTGCCTTTCTCTTCTGCTGAGCCTCTCAGGTTTAGCTATCAGACGCTTCTATTTTTCACTACGGGGTTTTAGATTTTTGTTTTTCCTTATAACGCTTTGTCTCCTTGTTTATGAAATGTAGCATAAGAATAAAACAGCGGTCGTGTAGAACATTCTTAATTTATAGTATAACGGACCTTCATGTGCTTATTTCCTACTGGTAGTCAACGGATTAGTTTTGAAAGCAGAAAGTTGTCTATCTGGCTCTATTAAAAAGTTATTATTATGGGAACCTCTACCGAGGTATAATTCATCGATTGACTTTATTTCTTCTTCGAAATTCTTTAGAATGAAATAGGAACTTGAAACATTTTGTCTGGGGTGTTCTGTTGATGAAGTTACAAATGTACGTCAGGGTTGAAGATCTGAACATTGAAGGCCTTGAGACGTGTTATCTGCTTGACTTTCTTTGTCCAAAAGAGTTTCTTTTGAAACTTTCACAGCAATTAGAATGCAAGTAAGCGGAGATTGAACTCCTGTTATGATAACATGCATCCTTTCTGACTGCCTCTATGTTGATCATTTTTCCTTTCCTCACACGAGTGTCATAAATTGCATATTAATTTAACATCTCTACTCATTCAGGGTTGTTGGGTTTGATCACCGGAAATCAGTACTTCCATGTATTCCCGATGTCAATGATTGCCCTGAGAATCTCACTATTCTTGTAAACCTTGAGAAGAGTAGCTCCAGTGCTGTTTATGAATACTTTTCTGCCAAACATGGAGATATTACAGTTCCTGATGTAAGTATGAATTAGGGCTCTTCTACATGCTTTTGTTCTCCAGCATCTTATATGGTTATTACTGAGTTAGAAAGATGTTTGAATATCATAAAGGGTGCGGCTCCACGTTTGCTGGACTCAAAAGTAAGAGACCGTGTGGAACTTGTTCTTAAATATATTGAGGATGGAGATCTTCGTCGGTGGAGCTTGCCCAACATCAGGGCCTTTAACTTTGGACTGGGTGAATGGCGCTCAAGGTTCAATTGCATTGCTAATCCATATATGTATGAGCAGGTTTGATCCTTTATAGATCTCATATTACTGAGAAATTTTGAGTAGGTTTTAATATGAATTTAGTTCATAGCGAAGTGGGCACAATGAATAATTCTTTATTGAAAAATGTGTTTCACAAACAATTGGAATTATAGTTACATGACACACAATGTCAAGAGGTTATATGTTTCATTTACACTACACGAGTGTTGCAACTTTTCAGACTATGGCATGATTAGCCTGGGTGTATGTTACTTTTGAAATCCGCTTTGTTACTTTTCTTACCCAAAATAGTTCTAACTTCAACTCCTGATATCATGTTGTCGCCAAACGTTTCTCTTACTTCCAAAAAATCTTTGTCACAGTTGCTGGAGTTAACTGCTGAAGATTTAATTGCTAAAGGAAACTCACATCTTTCATTCCGCCAGAGTGCTGCAAATAAATTGCTGGGAAAAGTTTTCAGGGTTCGGCTGGGTAGAGGATTTTATGGAGAGTGTCTGGTAGTCTTCCAAGATTTAATCATCATTATACTGTCATTCTCTACTGCCATTTGTAATTAATTCATTGACCATGTCCTAGCATAACCTAACTTTACATAATTGTTACTCATATTTGTCTCTACTTTTTTTTTTAGCATATAAAAGCTTTCACCATTGAGTTTTATTACAGTGGCATCATCATGTGACTGCAACATTGTGCTCCCACACCCAACTTTGAGATTGAAGTTTGTAATCAAATTTTGTTTCCTTCTCTATTGCTTCAGGGAGTCAGGGCAGATGAGAACTCAAATTTAAGTGATGAAATCGGCAAGCTCCTGAGCGTAAAGAGTGCTGCTGCTGGTCTAAGGTAATTTATTCACAAAAATGCCCTTACGTTTTTGTTTGTCTTAATATTTTTAGTTCATTAGAAAAATAATTCTCCATTAGTTTGCTGACAGAAGCATAAACTTCGATCCATGCTTAATGTCTAACTCAGGTGGAACTTGGAAATTTATGACCATGAAATGGAGGAAAAAAATTATTCATGGGAAGTCAAAGCTCGGGGAAAAAAACAGAAGCCATAGTCGGTAATGACTGAAATATAAATGTAGGTCTACCAATGAATTATGACCCAATAATTCCATTTGTCATTAGTGCAAGGCTCCTTTCATTTATTTCTTTAGAGTTGGGATCATTTGGATGAAGGACTGGTTGGGCACAATAGCAGATGTGGTTAACCTATCCCAAACTAAATTAAACACACTTGTGGGCAAATGGTTCTTGACGATAATACCCACAACTGGTTTGCCCCAATTAATTTCTCTGTGGAACAAAATGGCATAATCTTCTCGCCAACTTCTTTCTACTCTAGCAATCTAAAATGAAGATATAAAGTAAAAGAATAAACAATTACCTAATGACAGCTTCGTGAGTTATTGAGTTCTGCTTTTCTCTCATCTTATGTTGTTGATTTAGGTTTGGTTTGTCAATCATGGATGCGAGGTTTTTGGCATGGATCATGTGTCAGCATGTTAATTATGTTGATATGGGATTTCATAAGCATACATATAAAAAGATATTGTAACAATTCTGTCTCAGGGATGAGGGGCTTCATATTTTGCTTGGACTCGGGAAAATTTAACAAGATCCTTGGCCGTTTCTATAATTATATTGATTCTTTCTCTGATTTTAAGCATTGACTATACATACCTTTGTCCAAGCATCTTTGTTTACTCATATTCTTATAAACAGTGAAGAATTTTGGCCCGGAAAAAGGTAAGCAGCGAAGTATCTGAAAAATGTCTTTTAACAAGTCCTTCCAGCCTGATTGTCTTCCTGCTTCATTGCGATTAGATCTTTTGTTTTCTACCTAAGGTTTATTCATATGTATGCATGATTTAATGCATTGAATGCTTGTATGTAAGGCAGGCCCATAGGAGCTGTGATATTCATGCAGCGGACTAATCTTAAAATGTGCCTGAGAAGCACTGATAATGCCACAGATACGTCTGAAGTTGCAAAAGTGTGTTCCATGCTTATCTCTTTCTGATTTTTCAATATTTTGATATATATTGAGTTTTGTTAAAATTGAAATTGAAGGCATATGGTGGAGGAGGTTCCCCAAGTTCAAGCTCCTTCATGATAAGGATGGATGAGTATAACCAATGGATTCGATGAATTCAATATCATCTCAAGGTACATGTCTAATGTTAAACTTTAATATTGATGGGAAACATCCTTTTGTGTTGATGAGCAAACTTTCTCCACCTGATATAGAGATTGCATAAGAAGTGTTCTTGAATACAATTTCTGTAATTCAGTTGCCTAAGGGGCTTCATTTGATTCATTCTTCACACTGTTTGTTTTGTGAAGCAATGTTCCTGATGATTTGATTAGTCGGTGTGTCCTTTTTCTGCCAGTTGCTCTTTGAATATTGCCAGCTTTTGTCCTATGGTGCAAACTGAACCATTTAATGAACTTCTTTACAACCTTTTGAAACTCAAATTGACAGTGACAGTGAATGATGCGGATCCATAACTCCCTCCCATTAACAAACTCCATTTACAGCTCCTAGTAGTTACATGAGTTAGGGAACAAACTCATAATGGTTCTTTTTTTTTTTGGGTGTGTGTAACTCTTGTGAGTTCCATACTATGTTCTGTAAGTTTTAATGGTTCGTCTGATGATCTTCTGGACGAAAGTACCCTCTAGGACGGGTATAAATAAGGCCTGTGCGTTTTGTTTGAAAGCAAATAAGAATAATAATTTCCTTTTCTCAAGTTGAGAGTGTTCTCTCTTTTTGGCTCGAGAGCCAAAGAAGATGCCTTGTCTACTTTTTATGTCGCATTTTACTCACTCCACAAACTAATGCAGAACTTATACTTAGCTTCTATCCTCCATCCTACCCCTTTTTATTTGAAAAACGGTTCCTTTGGTCAGCTCCACAGCCAAAAGAGAGTGAATTAGTTAGTCTAACCAGGGTGTTACGGTTCTAGTCTGGTAAAATTTCACCCAGCAGACATGGAGTCATTTTCATATGTTTAAAAAATCAATCTTATTGCATCCTGAATCTGAAACTTAATGTGTCTGGTGGTTCATGTAATTAATCTGTATTGCTTGTTGCTATTTTTATATGATTTGCATGTACCATTCATATGGAAAAAGAAGGAAGCGATGAGGGATACATTGGATTTTGAGATGTGGATTAACCCTTTGCTTGGATGGGAAGAAAGAGAGAAAGAGCCAGGAAAAAGAAGAAACCCAGTGACGTTGTCGTCATCTTCATTCTGCCGTTGCTAGCATCTTAAGCTCTGTTGCTTCTTTCCTCTACCCTCTGCACAGAACCCACTTCATAACTGGCAAGCAGATGTAGAACAACCATTCGTGATTTCGTGATTCTGTGACTTCTGCTGGTTTGCCTCTCCATTGTTAAGCTCTATAGCTATTTTCCTCTGCGACTTGAAGGATGACAGGAAAATGAAATATGCTTTCAGATGCAGTATTTTGTTTCTACCTGATGTGGACATTGTAATGTCAGTATATTCTCACACTTTATGGATGAAGTCCAAAAATTTCTTTTGTAAGCCGCATTCCCTCATGAAGAGTGAGATAAGTGAGGAGTGGCCATGGAGCCGGGGAAAGGTTCGGCTTGAGGGGAACAATTTTTGTAGATATATTTGGAAAAGCAGAATCCATATTGTTTGTCATATACGAGCTAGTCCTAATTATAAGACCCAATTAACTAATTTGGAGAGATTAAGAAACTTAATTAAGATAGTTATTTGTAATGAATAGGTATTGTTTTTCCTGAAATATCCTTACTAATCAAGTTTGTTATCTAGACCTATTATTGTTAGAAAGATTACTTTGGAAAAAAATACATAAATATGAGAGACAAAGTGGATTGAGGTCTTATATTTAGGAGCAAAATAAAAGTCAAACAAGGTCTTATATTAAGGACCGGAGGTAGTATATTTTTTTAAAGTAAAAAATGTATTATTGTGTAAATGGTGGAAGAAACTTGATTGTACTTAGATAAAATTAAATGTTTAAATCTTATGAATAAGAAAATTATATTGTGAGAATTAGTTTTGATTGATTAGATTTAATAATACTCATCAAGATTCGGTGATATTGAATCTCGTATAGCTATTTGAAAAAATGCATTATCAGTTGTCTTGTTCTTGATCGCAAACTTAGAGTGATTTTATATCAGTGGTGATGATAATAAATCAATGTATGTAATGGTTAATAAAAATCGTTTTATTGAAATATAACTAGAAAAATTCTTTGGATTTGACGAAATATTTAGAAATTTTCATTTTCTAAATGTTGTGGGTGGTACTGTCAGTGAAGCAGCCACTTGTTGACCTTATCTCTCTTCTTCTTTTTTTTTGCCCTCGTATCTATCTTCTTTCGCTGGCAAGAGAGTTTGGATTCTCTCAAATATGATGTTCTAATAAAAAATACTATTTCTATTTTATTTATAAGGCTACATTTGTAATTTATAAACAAAATCTTATAATTAGAATGAGAGATAGTATATACTATTAGTTTATAATATGGGGGATTTATGATATTAAAATAAATGTCACTTTTCCCATTGTATTATTAAATCAAAATCTAATTTATTTATAACTTTTTTGAAAATACAACAAAAAGAATCTTTTTCACTGCTCTTGAAACTTTCTCCCTAACAAAAGGTGTGTTTGGATTAGTAGTAGCAGAAGTAACTTTTTTTCAAGCTGAGTTTTACAGAAGTCAGATTGAGTAAAAGTCAGATAGTGTAATGTGATTTATATTTAGATTAGGTTTTGTAAAAAAAATCAGTTTGAGAAGCTGAAACTTGTTTGAATGTAAAATAACTTAAAAGGACATGAATTTTATTAAATAGTGGAGTACATATCTAATGTTAGATATAAATAATGTGACTATTTTAAAAGAAATAAGGAAAAGAAAATTATTAAAAATAAAGAAATTTAATTTATTATTAGAAAGAAATTATATATAATGTGACAATTTTAAAAGAAATAATGAAAATAAAATCATTAAAAATAAAGAAATTTAATTTATTATTAGAAAGAAATTATATACATAATGTGATTATTTTAAAAGAAGTATTGAAAGTAAAATTATTAAAAATAAAAAAATTAAATTTATTATTATAAAAAAATTATATATATAATGTGACCATTTTAAAAGAAGTATTGAAAATAAAATTATTAAAAATAAAAAAAATTAAATTTATTATTATAAGGAAGTTGAAAAATACTAAAATACTTAATTAAATATATGTAATGGATAAATACATACGAGAGGGTCAAGTAGGTGACAAATTTTAAAACCAAATTAATGCTCTAACAGTATTCCTTATTGCTCTGTCAACCGAAAGAAAACAGCCTCAAATAACTTATTACATAAGTCCATTTCAAAGCCAGAAATCCGATACACAAAACGTGAGCCTAAACATCATTTTTCCTCCGGCCTATTATTTCTCCGGTTGGGATAGGAGAACATTTATACTGCTGCACCGCCCCCTCGTTCTAGAAGCTTCTCTGTTGTTTTATTTGTTTATTTATTTTTTAAATTCATGGCCATCACTCTGTTTTATGCCCATGTTACTTTTGTTTTTTAAAAAAAAATTGTTTTTAAAGTATTTACTCTTGTCTATTAAAAAAAAATGTAAAAATGAAACATAAGCAACTTATTCTCTTTTAGAATTGATAGTTCCATACATATTAAAATTTAAATAAAAAATTATTTTATCTTATGATTTATCATCCCGCGGAAATTAAAATGCAAACAAAAGTTCTCTGTTTTATTTGTTGTGGAAGCAATTGTTCATTGTATTGTTCATCTTACCGTGGGATGATTAGAAACTTTAGTATTTTACTTTTATTTAGTAAAAGTTTAGAGAGATAATTATAAATAGTACAACTTCCTGTGATTATTTTTATCTTTTTAATGTGTTAATATTTTTTGACCGGATTTAATGTGTCAATATAAAATTTTAATTTGTGGCCAAAAATGTAAAATATTAATTGTGCTTATATTTATTCAAAAATACATAGGGAATGCACACACATGTATCTCACAAAATGAAAAAAAAAAAAACTATTTTTAAAAGAAATTCTTATCCTTATTATTTCCGTAGAACCCTAAACCCTGACCGATGGCAACCCAAAAAAAAAAAAAGACACTAAACCCTAACGGCAAAGTTAAAGCCTCACTTCCTCATATTCCAACATTTGCCTTCTTCGGTTCTTTGCCGTCAAGCTCCCCTCTCTTCTGGTGATGGCTGCCGCATCCCTGCTCCGCTCTCTACGAAGGCGTGATGTAGCTTCTGCCTCTTTTGCCACCTATCGATCGGTACCATTACCTCACTTGCTCTTGCTAAGTGCCCCTGATTATGATGCGGAATTCACATTTTAGTCTATCGGAGTTTGGTTTCTTGTTGAGAGGAGCTTCTTTTTTTCGCCACGAATGAATTGTTTTCTAGCAAGTGATTTAACCTGCAATGATCTGATCAGTGTAGCATTTCATATATTATTGGCTGTTTGTGTTGTTTTCAGAAGTTCATGAATGGTTTGCCTGATATGGTATTATTTATTATTCATTTGAATCACTCGTCTTGGCTTTGGTGCTTTTCGACTTTCGACAGGAATATCTTTTGTTCCTCTAAATAATTTAAGCTATTATGATCAGACCCAAGTAAAATCTCATCCATTTCTGGCCTTTTATCTTGTTTTCTTGAGCTTATCAATGGCTTTATTGATGTGGGGCTTATGAAGAACTTTCTACTCTGATGCTCATTTTTGTGTCTTGCGAAGGCAGTGCATCTTTTTTCTTTAACTGATTCTGAGCAAGTTTGACCTACAGTCACTGTTTAATATCTGAGCCTTACACTGGCACAATACATAAAGGGAAAAGGGCCCTGTCAAATGACTCATTTCTCATATTTGCTGGATTCCTAAACACTAAGTTAAAACAGGTTTGTTTGTGGGAAGCGCTAAATTTGCTTCTATGGATATAGATGTATTGTTCATTTATTGTTTTACAGATTATGGAGGTTATGAAGTATTTTATTTAATTTTAGCCTATCTTTGTGTGCTGAATCCATTTCCGAGGACTTGTTTTTTTCCCTCTTAGTGGCGTCTCTGTAATACCTTCAAATCTGAACCTCTCGCCATTCCCTCTGCCAGCCCTCTTTTTTTTTTATTATTATTATAATTTTGGGTCAGGCTCTGCTAGCCTATATAGATTAATTATCTGAATTTGAGGGTATGTAAATGTGATTTTATGTCAATGCCATAGCATCGTTGTCTTAGTTATGTCGTTAGTTAATTTTATCCGCTATATCGTGTAATTGAGTTGCACAGAGAAGAAAAAAAAACATTTTCTTAAACAAATGTTTGTACTTTATACAGTTGACAGGTAGCTCTAAACCAGCACATGTCAGTCAAATTTGGACGAGTTTGTCTCGGCCATTCAGGTTTTATTTCTTGTCCTAATTTAAGTAATTATTACTAGAGTTGCTCTATGTTCATCATTTCAGTTTCTAAGAATGTCTACTTATGGTACCGTTTCATGTGCATTTCAGTTCAAGGCCTGCTGGTAATGATGTTGTTGGTATTGATTTGGGTACTACCAATTCGTGTGTTGCTGTTATGGAGGGAAAGGTAGAACATTCTTCATTCATCTCTTGGATTTTTTCAAATAGTGTACATATTTATTTTTTATATGTGGTGTTCTTGACTAATATTACATGCTTTGCAGAATCCTAAAGTCATTGAAAACTCTGAAGGAGCTCGTACAACACCATCTGTGGTTGCCTTCAATCAGAAAGGAGAGCTGCTTGTTGGTACGCCAGCCAAACGGCAGGCTGTAACCAACCCAACAAACACAGTTTTTGGAACCAAGCGTTTGATTGGTAGGCGATATGACGATCCTCAAACTCAGAAGGAGATGAAGATGGTCCCATACAAGATTACGAAGGCTCCAAATGGAGATGCATGGGTTGAAGCTAATGGGCAGCAGTACTCTCCTAGTCAAATCGGGGCTTTCGTTCTTACCAAGATGAAGGAAACTGCAGAATCATACCTTGGAAAGTCTGTCTCAAAAGCTGTGGTCACAGTGCCAGCTTACTTCAATGATGCGCAGAGGCAGGCAACAAAGGATGCTGGTAGAATTGCAGGGCTTGATGTACAGAGAATCATAAATGAGCCCACTGCAGCTGCACTTTCATATGGGATGAACAACAAGGAGGGACTGATTGCAGTTTTTGATCTTGGAGGTGGAACATTTGATGTTTCCATATTAGAAATTTCTAATGGTGTTTTTGAGGTATGAAAACTTTCTTATTTTAATGTCCTCTCTTTTTATTCTTTTTGGAACTTGTAGGATTAATTTGGCTATTGGTGATAATATTCCTTGATGTATGTAGGTGAAAGCCACAAACGGTGACACTTTCTTGGGAGGAGAAGATTTTGACAATGCCCTGTTGGACTTTCTAGTGAGTGAATTCAAGAGAACTGAGAGTATTGATCTTTCAAAGGATAGACTTGCCTTGCAAAGACTCAGAGAAGCCGCTGAGAAGGCTAAGATAGAATTGTCTTCAACATCTCAAACTGAAATCAACCTGCCTTTCATCACTGCTGATGCATCTGGTGCAAAGCATCTGAATATCACATTGACTAGGTCCAAGTTCGA